TATATATATATATATATATATATATATATATATATATATATTTGTTTATATATATATTTGTTTGATGATTATATTTATCTCCATAATTTCCTATCCATTGAAGACCATAAAACTAATCCTCCATGTCAATAAGCTTTCAACATGTTTTTACAAAAGGTGAAGGAAACAATACTTTTTCTAGATAGACATGCCCTTAACTTATGTCACAGTTTGGGAGGGTGATTTTAATGTCCAGGTTTCAAAATTTCTAATGGTTATCAAGCAATTATTGTGGCGATAAATTCTTCACCAGTTCAGAAATTAGGAAATAAGATATTATATAAATGAATATTAGTAGATGGTTTGTTTTGTCAAATTATCTCACTGAAACTTCATTTTGCAGGCTCGTATAAAGAAGATTATGTGAGGACATAGGGAGAATTGCGATGGCATTGCCGTTCTTAGTCTGTATATGATTCCAGAAATCCAATTGTGTTTCTATTTACGAATTGTTTGGGATGCTAAATCATAGAATTGGTCTTGTTGTATAGTTGTTGTTTTTCGTTCTTCTTTCAAAATAAGCGTGTTGAGTTGAAAACTAATGTTGAATGTCATCTCATGATTTAGATGCAGATGGTACGACAATATTGGATGACATCATAGAGGAAAGTACGCTTCTCGCTTCTAATGCCATGGTCCAACTTGAAAGTAAGTTCTCAAAGAAGAATTTATAATATTGATTTTAAGTAGTTAAGCGGATAATTAGATGTTGACAGACAATGTTATGTTATTATTTGACATTTTGGATAAGCAATTTGGCCTGCACTACTTTTGTGTAGGTGATGTCATTGACATACCGATCAGCCATCATTCTCATTGAAGGCGATGATACAATTAACATAAGAGGCCATGATTGACACGCGTCCACTTCCTACAGCATCCATCAAAACTCCATACACCAAGGAGAGGAGAAAAAGAATCAAGAATTAGTGCTCAAGAAATTTGTTAATACTATGATAAACACTATTTGATGGTTGTGTACTAAATGGCCACGATAGAGATAATTCTTCAAGAATTTGATTATAAACACGTTTTGGTGGTTGTATATATACGTGCTTATCTCCAAGAATTCGATGACCATTGATGTGTGCAAAATTCGCGAACATCATCGACTATAATTATTTATTGTAGTTTTGCCATGAATTCATATGATAACGTCTGTACCAAATATTATGTAACAGTATATCCACATCTTATTTGTAGTCAACTTTACAACCAACTGTCGAGAATGATAGGAATCTTATGTTGAATCGACAGTTTAACTTTTTGGGATGTAGTGAAATATTTTACTTGTAAACTTAAATACGATCAATGTCTTCAAATGATAATAAAACGTTAGTGATAATATCACTGCAAAACATATAATACCAGCATTGTGACATACAAAAAAAATCATGGACAAGTTAGGAAAAAAGTTCTTTCGGGACCTTTGCTGTGAAGTTATTGCTACACGAGTGATATTTGCAAACGATAATGATATTATAACTTAAAAATCTACAAAGCTATCATTTGGTCATGCAAAATACAATTTTAACCAGTTTCAAACATCAAACATATGTACGCGATTGGTGTTACAATGGGGTTAGAACACTTGGTCCAATTATGATCAACTATACCATGGTGAATTGCATTTTCTGATTCATAGGTTAAGCTCGTATCTTAATCATTTGCGTCGTGTGGGTATTTTTGTCCCGTCCGCTTTCCACTTCCATTCGTCATTCACATGAACAAACTTTTCCTCATACGACATGATAAATCTCAAATGATTGCTCATACATGAAAAGTTGAAATTGCAATTGTAGGAATTTGCATAATCAATATGTCGACATTTAATAGTATGAAAGTGGCACGCTGAAATATTTAAATCAAAGTTATCAAACCTGGCTCGGACCGTCCGGAAAACACGTAACTCGGGCCCCCGACCGGGCTGGGTAGAATATTTTTATAAATATGTAACTGACTCGGTAAAAATCGAATTAACTCGTCGAGTTGACCAAGTTAACCGGCGATTTCTATATTAATTTGGCCGGTTGATTGGTTTGACCAAGATTTAAAAGTTTGTCCATAAATTTTTTATTCTCAAAAGGACCTGAACCTTAGACCTCTAGGTTAAATGAGTACCAACTAACCACTAGAGATCAATGATTTATTGTTATGTATTTACAATAATTATATGTGGTGATTGGAATAAATTATTCATCACATTAAGTGTGGTCATCAATATTGTATTACCAAACGACAAAATCTTCTTACCAAATAATTTGCACAATAAATCATTAAAGTGGCAATCCTTCAAAATATTTATTGGTTTGATTGGAAGAAATTATTCAAAATATTAATGATGATAATCAATTTTCAATTATAATATGATAACATCTTTCCAAATAAATAACCCAATGCTTCATTAAATATTAGTGCTTGTTTGGTAGGGACCTTGATAATTGATTTTTTGACCGTTAAAAATAAAGTGGGTTCTACCTGTGACAGAAAGATTAAAAAATGACGGTTGAAATAGTGAGATAATAGTCAAAAATTGATATTAAAATCCCAAACAAACAAGCTCTTAAATCCTTCACAACATTTTGTAGAGAATAAATACTTTGTAATATGCTAACATCTCGAAATAGATGATAAATCCAATAGTAATGTCTTCTTGATGAATGATTGAAAAGTATGGTTAGAAAGTTAGGATTTGTTAACGATAAAAATTAATCTCATGCTCACTTTTAAAATCTTTTATTTTTTATTTTTTATTAACAATTTCATATTATCCAATATAATATACATATATCCAATGTTCATAATACACAAATTAAAATCATCATATCATGCATTAATGATATTTAAATCAAGCATTAGAGACTCCTAAAAAGGTATCACTAAGGGTAATTTGAATATTTCACACTGAAAAAGCCACATTCTTGAGCAATATTAGTAAAACTGACAAATTTTAGTATATTTTCAAATTTAATGACATCTATGAAAAATTCCCTTTAATTTATTGGATTCTTTTGTAGGTTTGGATAAAGAGGATTTCAGGGAAGAGTAGTTAAGCTTCAAACTAATTATTTTGCTAAATTCATCAAATTCACAATAAAAAGTAATTCTTACTTTTTTTAAATTCTTTATATATTGCTATGTTTATATGTATTTTCTCTAATAGTATCTCTTTCATTGTTGTTCCAATTTTCATGAAGATGATATTTTATGATTATTAGGGTTTTAATTAAACACAAATTTTAAAGACTATAAAAATGTTCAAAAAAATTTAATGAAAATAAGGATTAGTGGATAAATTTAGAAAGATATAACTTTATAATTTTATATATGTGTATTTAATTAAATTTATATAAGATTATAATATAATGTAAATTTTTTTTTTTAAAGTGATTGAAAATAGAGGCTCCCTATAATTATATATCATTCATTCCTACCAACTTATAATGTTGGCAATTAAAAAGGAAGTTAGGAAACCAAACATAGGAATAGACTAGTAAAAGATATAAGAAAACCATTTCTTTTGAAGTTTTGCTACACGTACATCAGAATTGACATTTCGATGTATACTCTTCCCACACGAGGTTAAATCTCATCGGAGTACCGATCCTGATATACAGAAACCATTTTTCTTTTGAGAAACACAAAAGATATTAACATAAGATAAAAGGGGCATTTTTGCAACAAACTAACTAACGGAACTACGCTAAAAGTCAGTACTATTATCTCCGCCGCGCTCGCCACCGCAATGTCCGCCGTATCACCGTCCCCATCCATCCTACTAGCTTCCACAAAACCCTCGAACGAAACCCACAAGACAATCATTATCCCCTTCATAAAAAAACCCACTATTCCCACTATACAGTGCGAGTTCAGAAGCTTCGAGAATAATTCCTCCTCTTATCAGAACTTGATCGCTGACTCAAGTAATCGCATTCACATTATTTTTAAACCCCCATCGTCTTCTCCTCTCACAACGGCTTCATCTATGGACCTTTCAATCAAGCATTCGAAAAGGGTTTGCCTTTTTTACTGCTCGGAAATGAAGGATCTTGCTGAAAGAATAGCATCAGCATCTGACAGTATTGAGCTCCGTGGAATTACCTGGAGGTACCCCTTATTGATTTTTTTATTTTTTTTTAATTCAGGAAAAATGGTAATATATTTGCACAAATTGATATAATTTCCTTTATTGGTTTTGTACTTTAGTGGGGAAATTGAGCATATGTTATTGTGAGTTCTGGAAAATGGGATCACAGGAGTGCCTAGTTACATAAAAAACAATTAGAGGTCAGGTCTTGCATCAAGAAAATCCAATTGTGTTTCTATTTACGAATTGTTTGGGATGCTAAATCATAGAATTGGTCTTGTTGTATAGTTGTTGTTTTTCATTCTTCTTTCAGAATAAGCGTGTTGAGTTGAAAACTATTGTTGAATGTCATCTCATGATTTAGATGAAGATGGTACAACAATATTGGATGACATCATAGAGGAAAGTACGCTTCCCGCTTCTAATGCCATGGTCAAACTTGAAAGTAAGTTCTCAAAGAAGAATTTATAATATTGATTTTAAGTAGTTAAGCAGATAATTAGATGTTGACAGGCTATGTTATGTTATTATTTGGCATTTTGGATAAACAATTTGGCCGGCACTACTTTTGTGTAGGTGATGTTATTGACATACCGATCAGCCATCATACTCATTGAAGGAGACGTTACAATTAACATAAGAGGCCATGATCGACACGCGTTCACTTCCTACAGCATCTATCAAAACTCTATACATCAAGGAGAGGAGAAAAAGAATCAAGAATTAGTGCTCAAGAAGTTTTTTAATACTATGATAAACACTATTTGATGGTTGTGTACTAAATGGCCATAGTAGAGATAATTCTTCAAGAATTTGATTATAAACACGCTTTGGTGGTTGTATATATATGTGCTTATCTCCAAGAATTCAATGACCATTGATGTGTGCAAAATTCGCGAATATCATCAGCTGTAGTTATTTATTGTAGTTTTGTCATGAATTCATATGATAACGTCTATACCAAATATTGTGTAACAGTATATCCACACCTTATTTGTAGTCAACTTTACAACCAACTGTCGAGAATGATAAAAACCTTCTGTTGAACCGATAGTTTAACTTTTTGGGATGCAATGAAATATTTTACTTGTAAACTTAAATACAATCAATGTCTTCAAACGATAATAAAACGTTGGTAATAATATCACTTTAAAACATATAATACCAACATTGTGACATACAAAAAAAATCATGGACAAGTTAGGAAAAAAAATTCTTTCGAGACCTTTGCTGTGTAGTTATTGATACACGAGCGATGTTTGCAAAGGATAATAATATTATAACTTAAAAATGTAGAACGCTATCATTCGGTCATGCAAAATACAATTTTAACCAGTTTCAAACATCAAACCTATGTACGCGATTGGTGTTACAATGGGGTTAGAACACGTGGTTCAATTATGATCAACTATACCATAGCGAATTGCATTTTTTGATTCATAGGTTAAACTAATATCTTAATCATTTGCGTCATGCGGGTATTTTTGTCCCGTCCCCTTACCACTTCCATTCGTCATTCACATGAACAAACTTTTCCTCATGTGACATGATGAATCTCAAATGATTACTCATACATAAAAAGTTGAAATTGCAATTGTAGGAATTCTGCATAATTAATATGTCGGCATTTAATAGTATGAAAGTGGCATATTGAAATATTTAAATTATAGTTATCAAACCTGGCCCTGACCGTCCGGAAAACCCGTAACTTGGGCCCCTGACTCGGCCGAGTAGAATATTTTTATAAATATGTAACTGACTCGGTAAAAATCAAGTTGACTGAGTCAACCGACGATTTCTGTATTAACTCGATCGGTTGACTGGTTTGACCAAGATTTCAAAGCTTGTCCATAATTTTTTGTTCTCAAAAGGACTTGAACCTTAGACCTCTAAGTTAAATGAGTACCACCTAACCACTAGAGATCAAGTATTTATTGTTATGTATTTGCAATAATTATATATATGTAAATCATTTATAGTTTGTTAAAAATATTTTTAAAAAATTATAGTAATTATTTTGATTAACATGAATTGAATATTTAACAAAATAATATATAAATAATTAATAATAGATAATTTTTTTCTTTTTGTTTTATCTAAAAGAAAAACTTTATACTTTAAAAAATATTTTATAATTATTAAGCATTGAATCGCCGGTTTAACCACTAATTCACCAGTTCGACTAGCAACCCGAGACTCGGTGCCTTAATCGGGTCAATGGTTGGGTCGGGTTTAATAACTATGCTTTAAATCCGTACAATAGCAAAAGATCAAACCGACAATTGAAATGTCTATTCTGATAGTTTTCGAGTATTGAATTCGAGAGTTAAAATATCTATTCCGACGGTTGAAATGTCTAACATAATGGTTTCTAAATGCTGAATTCAACAGTTGAACTGTCGAAACTGACGGAAAGTATTTATGTGGTGATTGGAATAAATTATTCATCACATTAAGTGTGGTCATCAATATCGTATTACCAAACGACAAAATCTTCTTCCCAAATAATTTGCACAATAAATCATTGAAGTGGCAATCCTTCAAAATATTTATTGGTTTGATTGGAAGAAATTATTCAAAATATTATTGATGATAATCAATTTTCAATTATAATGTGATAACATCTTTCCAGATAAATAACTCAATGCTTCATTAAAAATTAGTGTTTGTTCGGTAGGGATTTTGATAATTTATTTTTTGACCGTTAAAAATAAAGTGGGCCCTACTTGTGACAGAAAAATTTAAAAATGATGGTTGAAATAGTGAAATAACGATCAACAAATTGATTTTAATTGGATTAAAATCCCAAACAAACAAGCTCTTAAATTCTTCACAACATTTTGTAGAGAATATTGACATCTTTATTTCGAAAGATTTGAAAAACCAAACAAATCAATGAATAATAATTTCAAAAACTTCGAATAAGTATGACCATGTTGTGTTTAACATTTTAAAAGTCACAAGTTATAAGATAAAAATAAAAATAATTTGTAATAAGCTAACATCTCGAAATAGATAATAAATCCAATAGTAATGTCTTCTTGATAAATGACTGAAAAATATGGTTAGAAAGTTAGGGTTTGTTAACGATAAAAAATATAAAAAAATCTCATGCTCACTTTTAAAATCTTTTTTTTTTTAATAACAATTTCACATTATCCAATATAATACACATATATCCAATGTTCATAATACACAAATTAAAATCATCATATCATGCTTTAATGATATTTAAATCAAGCATTAAAGACTCCTAAAAAGGTGTCACTAAGGGTAATTTGAACATTTTACACTGAAAAAGAGACATTCTTGAGCAACATTAGTAAACGTGGCAAATTTTGGTATATTTTCAAATTTAATGACATCTATGAAAAATTCCCTTTAATTTATTGGATTCTTTTGTAGGTTTGGATAAAGAGGATTTCAGGGAAGAGTAGTTATGCTTCAAACTAATTATTTTGCTAAATTCATCAAATTCACAATAAAAAGTAATTCTTATTTTTTTTTAAATTCTTTATATATTGCTATGTTTATATGTATTTTCTCTAATAGTATCTCTTTCATTGTTGTTCCAATTTTCATGAAGATGATATTTTATGATTATTAGGGTTTTAATTAAACGCAAATTTTAAAAGAATATAAAAATGTTCAAAAAAATTTAATGAAAATAAGGATTAGTGGATAAATTTAGAATAATATAACTTTATAATTTTATATATGTCTATTTAATTAAATTTATATAAGATTAAAATATAATGTAATTTTTTTTTTTAAAAGTGATTGAAAATAGAGGCTCTTTATAATTATATATCATTCATTTCTACCAACTTATAATGTTTGCAATTAAAAAGGAAGTTAGGAAACCAAACATAGAAATAGACTAGTAAAAGATATAAGAAAACCATTTCTTTTGGAATTTTACTACACGTACACTAGAGTTGACACTTCGTTCTACACTCTACTCACATGAGATTAAATGTCATCGGAGTGTCAATCCGGATATAAAAAACCATTTTACCTTGGAGAAACACAAAATATATTAATATAAGATAAAAGGGGCATTTTTGCAACTAACTAACAGAACTACGCTAAAAGTCAGTACTCTTATCTCCGCCGCGCTCGCCACCGCAATGTCCGCCGTATCACCGTCCCCATCCCTCCTACTAGCTTCCACAAAGCCCTCGAACGAAACCCACAAAACAATCATTACCCCCATCATAAAAAAACCCACTATTCCCACTATACAGTGCGAGTTCAGAAGCTTCGAGAATAATTCCTCCTCTTATCAAAACTTGATCGCTGACTCAAGTAATCGCATTCACATTATTTTTAAACCCCCATCGTCTTCTCTTCTCACAACGGCTTCGTCTATGGACCTTTCAATCAAGCATTCGAAAAGGGTTTGCCTTTTTTACTGCTCGGAAATGAAGGATCTTGCTGAAAGAATAGCATCAGCATCTGACAGTATTGAGCTCCGTGGAATAACCTGGAGGTACCCCTTATTGATTTTTTTATTTTTTATTTAATTCAGGAAAAATGGTAATATATTTGCACAAATTGATATAATTTCCTTTATTGGTTTTGTACTTTAGTGGGGAAATTGAGCTTATGTTATTGTGAGTTCTGGAAAATGGGATCACAGGAGTGCCTAGTTACATAAAAAACAATTAGAGGTCAGGTCTTGCATCAAGATCTGGATGTCATGTCGCGTGACCCAAAAACATAGCCGGTTAATAAGCTTGACTAGAGTAAGTACTGGTAGGCTGGTAGTGAATTCCACTTTGTATTGATCAAGTCATTTGTTGTTTTATCCTGGAGCATTGAGATAGAGTTTCAGTGATCTCAGATAGAATTGAATTTCATGGATTCATATAGGGAGGAGAGTTTGACATTTAAAGATGAGCAGGTTGGCTATCAAGTTCTTAAAACTTGAAATAACCGCCTAAATGAGCATTGCACCATCCAGTGTATTAGAAATGCTTTAGTCTTTGAGCTCAAGATGACTTTTTCAGATTGGCTCAGCCTCGGACTCTTGGGTTTGGCAGGAGCTTACAATCTTGAGCTTGGACTTTACATGTCCGTAGCCTGGTCTCTTCTTTCAGTCACCTCAAGTCATGAGCTCAACCCTTGAGCTCTGCTCTTATTGGCATAAGCTTGGCCCTCGAGCTCTTGTGGCTTGATCAATTCTCTGCCTTGGATTTCATTAGTATGAGGTCATTTCTGGGTAGAACAGATGTATTGCAAGATGACTCCTTTTTCAACTTTTTATCGTTTTTCTTGTTGTCCCACAATGAGTGCCTTGGTTTAGTCAAATATTTTTCTCTAGTTTCTTAATGATGAAAACTTCCTAAAGAGTAGTATTCTATGTGATTTTCATTCTCTTGTATTGAGTATACGGCAGTTCTTATCTATATATATATAACTGAACCAAGTGTGTTTCATACTGTCATTTCCAAGTATTCGACATGACGATTTATTGATCTAGTTGCTCTAACTAGTTATTCCTTGCTAAATTTGGTGTTGACTTTTGCAACTTAGACATAATTTCAAGAATTAATAATGGCACGAATATGCAACCTTGACTTATTCTGTGGAACTTTAATTAATCAGGACATTCGAAGATGGATTTCCCAACTTATTCATATCTAATGCTCATGGAATTTGTGGACAGCGTGTTGCTTTTCTTGCTTCATTTAGCTCTCCTGGAGTTATCTTTGAACAACTGTCTATCATCTATGCACTGCCAAAGCTCTTTGTCTCATCATTTACACTTGTCCTGCCATTTTTCCCAACGGGCACGTTTGAGCGTATGGAGGAGGAAGGAGATGTTGCCACAGCTTTTACACTAGCCAGGATCTTGTCAAATATTCCCATTTCAAGGGGTGGACCCACCAGTTTGGTAATTTTTGATATCCATGCCTTACAGGTGCGTTTGAAAAGTAGCTTTGTGACTGTACTCTCATGTGTCTTCATCTTCGTCTTCGTCTTCGTCTTCGTCATCCTCATCTTTGCTAAATATTACTGTTTCAATGGTTTTGTATTGCAGGAGAGATTTTACTTTGGAGACAATATTTTACCATGCTTTGAAAGTGGTATACCTTTGCTCTTAAATAGGCTCCAAAAGCTCCCCGACTCTGACAATGTAAGACCTTCCCCTAATTTTGTTGCATTAGCAGGCACTAGTCATTTTTCTATCATATTGCTCAATTTTGACATATTTAGTGTATGGTTTGTATTCAATATTGGTCAAGATCACACAATATAATAAACAGGATTTTAGCTTTTCTTGCTAATAACTTAACATGGTCCAGTATTATCCATATTTTATCATAGATTGCGTTTGAACTTTTCATCTCAACTAAGCTTGAATCAATGTTTTTGGAAATTGCAAAACTGATTTTTATAAAATGCAGTGATAGAATAAATAAAGTGAGGAAAATGAAATTAATCTATCTTTCCATTTCTAACAATTGCCTGGTTCTGCTACATTTCTGTGTCCAGATTGCCATAGCCTTTCCAGATGATGGTGCATGGAAACGATTTCACAAGCAGCTGCAACACTTTCCAACAGTATTGCTTCTATATGTTACCTTATTTACAACATCAATATTAATTTAAATGTGTTGATTTCAGTTTATATTTTTTTACGTATAAATGACTTTGATTTCTGTCAATGAAGACGGTAAACAATTTTCAACCTTCAATGATATTACTGACATGTAAATGAAACCATCGAAATAAACTACTCCCGAAAAAGTACGCCTCAATATTTGGCATTTTGTTTTAACTTAGTCATTTTCCTGGCAGATTGTTTGCATCAAAGTTAGGGAAGGTGATCAACGTATTGTACGCCTTAAGGAGGGAGACCCGAAGGGACGTCATGTTGTGATAGTGGATGATCTTGTACAGTCAGGTGGCACACTATTAGAGTGTCAGGTAAGAGCAGATGGCGTCCTTCAGTCAGGTTTTTCTAAAATAATTTGGACATTTGCCGACATATTAAGAAGTCTACGCGATTTCAGTAGGAAAGAGGTCGTCTAGAGACGAAAAACAAACGATTCTTTTATAATATTCTTTTCCCTGTCAGGTCTTCATTCTTATTCCATATGGAAATTGACTCCTGATTAACATAGATTTTATGTTATAGAAATGCATACTATCCCTTTTCTGTTCTTTTTCTTCAGAAAGTTTTGGCCAACCATGGAGCTACAAAAATTAGTGCTTATGTGACGCATGGAATTTTTCCGAATAGTACTTGGGAGAGGTTTAAACATGATGCTGGAGGTGATTACCAGATAGTTTATTTGTACCATTTTGTGGTTTTTGATTGATGTTGGATTGTCAAAATGTAATTCATTTCGATACAAGTTTATATTTGAAGATCACCCTGCCGAATCTCTTTCAGGGAATCCCGAAAATGGAATGACTTACTTCTGGATCACAGACTCGTGCCCACGAACAGTTAAGCAGGTGGAAAACAAATCCCCATTCGAGGTTCTAAGCCTTGCTGCTCCCATTGCAGCTGCACTCCAGGTTTAACTGTGGATTTGGAAGTTATTTTTGAGTGCTCACATTCTTTCTTTTCTCCAAGAGCCGAAGGCATATAGAGATAAGGTAGAAACTGCGGCTTCACGGCGACATAACACTTCCATGTTTAATGTTCGTCAGATATGGTCAAGTGGATTCATAAGATCGTGTACAGAGTTATTGGAGGGATTTCAGCACATGTATATGCTTAATTTCAATGGTTACTTTCACTGAAAATAACAAAGAAGTTACATTTTGTAACATACTTATTTTGTGTACTGCTTCGGTTCTCATCTTACGAATGGAACCTGTCGATTGCATGTGTAAATTTCCTAGTTGAAACTACTATAGTCCATTACTAAATAAAACGAATTTGAAAGATTGACATGAATTAACCCAGAGACAATCTAATTAACAAATTTTAAGGAAATGACAATCGAGCCAACGTAACTCCTTGAGTTTGACCTCTTCCTTTGGGCAGTATCAGCTCAAGGCAAACCTGAAACAAATCTTGTCGACTCTTGGCATGTACCACATTGAGTTCTTCTAGGTCCATTGAAGCTGCAACCACACTTCGCAGGACCTTTCGGCAGTGAAAGCTCTAGGATGCAAGTCCCAACTTGACGTGCTTCATGACGTAATCCAATGTGGTTGCCATTGGGTTTGATCAAGCAAAAAAGATGAAATCAATTTGTCGTAGTGCGTGTTAGAAAAAATTAGGATACAGATAAAGATAATGCCCAAGTAACTATCCGTAATTTTTTGCATGTATAGACATATATTGAATTGATTCTCCATGTCATAATCCTTATTCTACAATTCAATGACCAGGCCAAGATTTTTTTTCATTATTGGCATGCATTAAGTGACAACAATGAAAACATTCAAATAACTTTAAGATTGTTGTTCATCCGTGAATAAGGAAATGTGTAAAGTGAGTTGAGGTGTGTCAACGAAGTCAATTTTTTGAATTCATTCAGAGAAACTTGTTTGTTTCAAGTCAAAGTTAAGGGGCTTATTCATACACTAGACATCCTACGTGGACCTCTTTCTTAACCAAAACGACTATCAAATATTTGTCCGCTAGGATCTTTAAAAAGAAGTTTTTCATTCCATTTTTTCACTATAAATTTGTTGTCTCGTGTGGTTTGATTTGACTTGCGATTAGATTCGTGCCACATGAAAACGGTCATGTACTTTATATTTTGCTTGACTTGAACTAGAAAGCATCACTTGTATCATCTCGATTAAAAATATTTATAATAATTTTCATTTTTTATTTTATCGTCGCTTTCTTGTTTACTAAAATTGTAAGTAATTAGTGATTACTCCGCCTTTCAACCACAAAACCCCGTAGGAATTAAATGGACTTATTTTAAACCTTATCTATCACAATCAAAATTTTTTTCTCCCCAAAATAAAAAAAAAAAAATTATATATATATATATATATATATATATATATATATATATAAATAATAGTTTGATAAGTTTGCATCTCCACATTTGGGCCTCACCAGTATTATGCGACAAAAAGATCCGACTCGGTAACCCGAATTCGATTGATCAAAAATTTCTTTTCTTCGTTCATTATTCAGCAGCTCCACTTTGTAATGTAATTCTCATTTCTCATAATTCATCTCCCTATTGCGTTGTAGTATTGCGGAAGTAAAGAAAAAAAAAATGATTGATTTTCAAAGAAAATTTTCGTTCCAATTTTGGCCTTCTAATTCGCTCTAAATCAACAAATTACAGCCAGATCTCATTCATAAATCTCCTTGATCTGTTGCGATCTGTATCATATTGAATTTTGAGGAAGATTGGTAAATAAGTTAGAAAGAAATATATGGCAGGAGCAGCATCGGCGCTGTTCCTACTAGACATAAAGGGGAGGGTTCTGGTGTGGCGGGACTACCGTGGGGATGTCTCCGCTGTACAAGCCGAACGCTTCTTCACCAAGCTCATTGAAAAAGAAGTATTTCTTATTCATTCATTTCTAGTTTCACTGGGTCTTCTCTTGATTATACTTATTGAAATTTTGAATATTTGTTGAATGTCGTATGAATTTAGATGAATGTAAGGTGTTAAATGGTTTGATTGAAGCTGAGGGGACGCGTGAGCTTAATTTAATTGCTTTTTCTTTTCTTGTCGGTTAAGTGTAGTTCAGAGGACGGATTTGTATGCAGAACTTTAGCTTGATCTGATCTTTCTCTTCTATTGATTTTGCTGAACTTTCTTGTTTACTGATTTCTGCTATTGATTTGACTGATTTTGTTATGATTTACTTATTGAAATTTTTGTTATTAAGATTAATTTATTGAATGTTACTGAATTTTGATGAATGTAAGATGTTAAATGGTTTGATTGAAGCTGAAGGAAGCATGAGTTTAAGTTAATTGATTTTTCGTTTCTTTTTTGGGGTTGGGGGTCTTAAGAGTTAAATCTAGTGCGAAGGATCAGATTTGTATGGAAAACTTAAGCTTGGTCTGATCTTTCATTTTCTTCAATGGATTCATGTTTACTGAATTTTATTGTTTTTCGAAAAATAAGGATATGTCTGGATTATTAATTTCTGCTTTTGATTTGACTGGCTTTGTTATGTTTACTTATTGCGATTTCTGTAATTAGGAATAATCTTGTTCAATGTGGTATGGGTTTTTGATGAATGTTCGGGGTTACATGGGTGGATTGACGCTGAATGAAGGCATGACCATAATTTATTTAGTTTTCCTTTTTCCTGTTTTGGTGAAAGTGTAGTTCAGAGGTTAGGATTTGTACGCAAAACTTTAACTTGATATGATCTTTCATATTTTTCAATTGGCTTATATTATGGGCTTTTGCATGATTAAAATTGAGGATAAAATGGATGGATTTATTGTAGATTAACTATCTAAATGGTCTAGTTAAGCTTGACAAAGAATGTGAACATAATTCAGTTTATACAAGAGATAGCTTGACCCAAAATTGAATCTGCACTCTTTTTTTATTTGATTATTTGCCCTTCAAGAAGGATCCACATTTGGTACAATGGTAAATTTGATAATAATCAGTTTTGTGATTTGAAGGAGTAAAACTTCGACATGACCATTTAGTTCCATGCATTGAATAATTTTGACACAATATAGTTTGAAAATGACGTTGTCGAGAACTACCTCCACTTTTTCCTCCTAAAATTTAAACCTTATCTTGGATGTCACACTTCTTGAAAATTCTATGTTTTCTGTAACATGGGAGAAACATAGTAAAGAAAAACAACATCACATGAAATTAAATAATTCAGACAGAAGAAAAAATTCTGAAATTTCTCTTCTGTATCCTCCGAGACTAATGTTACTAAATTTTGCTGCATGCCTGCTAATTGTTTTTTTTTTTTTGGTACAAATGGTACGTAGTTTAAAAATGAACAAAAGGGACTGACACATGGTGTGGTACAATATTCTATTTTAGGGTGAACCGGATTCTCAAGATCCTGTTGTATACGATAATGGTGTCACATATATGTTTATACAACACAATAATGTTTATCTCATGACTGCATCCCGGCAAAACTGCAATGCCGCCAGCCTTCTGCTGTTCCTACACCGTGTTGTTGATGTAAGCTTTAGTGGTAATAGAATTTCAGTATGCTTTTATAATTTAGTTGTTAATCATAAAATTTAGGCTACTTTGTCAATTTGTTGCAATCTAATCGCAGGTCTTTAAACATTATTTTGAAGAGTTAGAAGAGGAATCCCTTAGAGATAATTTTGTCGTGGTGGTAAGAAAATTTGCTCATCTCTTCTTTCAAATTGATAGTTTACTATAAAATATCAACGAAATAAACATTTGGATCTGCCAGAACTGATTATGCTTCATGCCTCTGACAGTATGAGTTACTTGATGAAATGATGGACTTCGGCTACCCTCAATATACTGAAGCGAAAATTCTTAGTGAATTCATCAAGACTGATGCTTATAGAATGGAAGTTACGCAGAGGCCTCCAATGGCTGTAACAAATGCAGTTTCTTGGCGCAGTGAAGGGATTCGTTACAAAAAGAATGAAGTAGGTCTTTCTTACTAGCCTTCTAGCTAATTATTTGATCGACTGGATCACCTAGGTAGTTTTTGTCTCTTCAGGTGTTTTTGGATGTTGTGGAAAGTGTTAATATACTTGTCAATAGCTATGGACAAATAATTAGGTCAGATGTTGTTGGGGCGTTAAAGATGCGGACATACTTGAGGTTTGTTCTTCAATCCTTGATACTTACCTGTGATGATTTATTCGTTTTGTATTTTACCTTTCATACAATTCCTATCATAAGATTGTTGTGCTACTCTAAGTGCTGAATCCTAAAAATCATTGACACTGAGTGAATGATACATGTACTTTAGATTGTAGTTGCTGTCCTGAGCTAAGGGCTATTATGTTGTAGAATTATAATTATAATTCTGAATTGAGAAGAAAGAAGTGGTAATTTGTAACTACTGTTCTGTAGATTCTTAATGGGAATTGATTTGACATTCTGGATATCATTTGAGGCCTGAATTACTTTGCTGCGTTCCCAGGCCTCTGTGTGTGTGTGTGTGTGTGGGGTGGGGATTGGAAATTAGCGAGCTGATTGTAATTATGAGTGAGGTGTTGATGGGGTTTTTGGTTCAAATATGTTTTGAGGACACTACTTATGGATCAGTGGTGAGTCATAGACTTGGCTTCCTCTTGACCTATTAGGGACCTTTTTCTAATAGTCAATCTTAATCTTGCTGGTGGTGGTGGGCATAGATTAGGAGAAAATCAAGAGATTTGGTGATCTCTTCCATTTTCAGTTGGGAGAGTATGGTAGGAAGTCTAAGGAGTTGTCCATGAGATCTGTGCAGTGAAGCACACTCTCATATTGGGGCTAAGTGCCAGTTGTATCGTGTCAGAGAACAGCACCGCCGAGACTCTCCAGGACAAGTGTCGACATGCCATGTGTCTGTATCCGATGCCCGTGTCCATGTCCGTGTCCGCGTCCGCGTCCAATGTTCATGTTTGTGTCTGTATCCATGCCTCTCAGGATCGATGATAAGACAAGTGGGTAAGAAGGGTTACAACAAGAAAGTCCCTTTGTAACAAGAGTGAAACATAAAGAGGCTTGAAAGCTCTCTCAATTATAATAAGCAATCAGGTTTTCCACATGGAAAAAGGTTGAGAACTTGGATGGATTGCTGGTATAGTATCTAGTCTTGAAGTGTCTCCATTTGTGCTTTTCTTATTTTTGTCTTTATTAATGGGACGTTAATAGTTTTTGCTTCATTTTGTACCTGGCTTTGTTCTTCCTTTTGGTGCTTACTAACTAAATAACACTTACCGGGAAAAATAATTTCTTTTATGTTTCTCACTTGAATCAAACAGTCTACAAGCTTATTTTTTAAGTTTTAAATTAGATTTGAGTGCCTCAGAGAAACATGATCTCAGATTTTTTCCCCAGAGATTTATCTGGAGGTTCAGTTTATTATTATGATTTAACACATTTCAACGTGTTGTGCTTGGACTGAGTGGATCGGAACCCATGTTTCAACTTGTCATGACAGTATACAAGATTTGCCTCATAACAAAAAAATTGCAGAACATTTTTATCAAGCTCGTGAATATGAAGAGTTGCACATTGAACTAATTAATCGAATCAGCAACCTGGAAAATCAGTTCATCAGCAAATGAAGTTTGCACTACAGAAGACAAAAATTTCCTTTATTCATCATCAGCGTAAAGTTACAACAATAGATATCTTTCCAACAGCTAATACAAAGTTAACAGCAAATAATTAACAATAAAAGCAGTATGTAATCAAAACCATTAATCGCTCTGTAGGCATCATTGAGTCTCACTACCTGAACTGAATCTTTTGATGCTACAGTCTTGGAAGTTGTACTGTTTAATGATGATTTACAAAGTCAAACTATTGATATGATTGATGTAAAAAATGTTTGGCTCTGCCTCATTTAATTTCTCACTCTTTTGAATCAAAAGATAGGAAAAACCTTCTATACAGATGGATATATGGAGGGATAGAGAGACCCTGGGGGAGGGGCTTAGCAGATGGTGTACTGGTAGATTAATATGATAGGTAGCTGAAGCTACTGCTGAATTTCCCAACTGTTATTCCGGTTGCAGTTACTGCTGGTGACTATACTGCTCTACTGCAACTGCCGAACATGCTGTGAGGATGCTGTTGCTCCTTCCCTGTAATAAAAGCTGGAAGTTGCTGTTAATGTTTCTGTGGACTGAGATGCTGATCTGTGATGCCATGCAGAGTTGCTGACCAACGGATTGGTTAAATAATAAGTCTAGTAACTGGAATATGTATATACGATTGAAGTAGTGGATTTGTGTGAAATATATTCTTTATTCAATTGCACTTGTGTATGAAAACTAAAAGATGAAATGAAAACAGAATTGAAAGACAAATTCCGGGCTATTCAAGAGGTCGGATCTCTCCCCACTAAAACCTAAACATCTCCTTAATGAATGAATTCCCAGATCCCCCTCTTTCACATTTATAGGCATCCTATCTCACCGTATTCCCCACAATACCCCTGCCCCTAACTGAATCTGTTTCTAACTGAATGTGCTTCTCAATTCTTCTGGGTCCTTCTAGAGACAAACTTGATAGGAGTCTATCATAATACTAGTTAACTTAGCTACTATAAGAAAAACCCCCGATTGTTCATTATCTATCTTCTTTTGATAATTCTGATTAAGCCATTAGAATTCCAAAGTTTGCTCAGAGCAGTTTCAATCCAGTATTCCCCATGTACTACCCCATGTGTAATTGGTAGTTTTTCAATGTCCAACATTGGTGGTAGTTACTTAAGCCTGAAACTAGTATCCCATTATGGGTCTGGCTGTATGCCAGATATTTGACTAGAGGTAGTATAGAGAACCCATTGGGTCTGATACAGCCAAGCTATGTGACAAGTGGTATTATAGAGAACCCATTGGGTCAATCACTGGGAGTGGTTCATCGAATGTTTGCTGAGCAGTCCTAAATTATGTGGTGGTACATGACGAAGGGTATCAGGGCCTTAATTGTAGTGCATAGATGTTGCAAGTTGGAGTTGCCAAAAATTAGTGGGAGACTGGGAGTTGTCAGTGTAAGTTATAACTTGGCTTAACAATTTTGAGCTGAGTGGTAAAAGGAAAAACCACAAGAAATCCACAAGAAGTTTTTTCTTAACTCGGCAACTTGGGTCACACAAGCAAGGCTAGCAGTGGGCGAGGGAGTGACATTTCCTATCTGTACTGGAGCTGCCAAAACATAGTATCAGAGACTTGGAAACTTGAACACTGTCTTAGTCTTCTGCCCTTTCTTTGGCCATTGCAAGCTGAATTCATTGTTGAAACATGCCAATTGGAGATTTTCAATTCAATCTCAGACATAAAGTGTTATTCTTTTCCCTAGGTACTTTTGTGCATCTTCAATAACTCTGATGCTGGATGCTTGCCATTTATTTGGCATCTTTTAAGGTGTTCTGTCAACTTCTTGGGAGCCTGGTCTTTCTTTGTCTAGTTTATCGTTGTATTAAGCTACTACCCTATATGCTTTTATATTGGAAAGAACAAAAATCATTTTTGTCAAAGTATTTTTCACTGTGTAAGATGGCTGAAGCTTGCCAGGTTTTTAAGCTTCAGTTATTATTTGTTGCTTACCTTTTGTAATTCTGAAGTACTAATATATCAACTCTTCCAGTGGCATGCCAGAGTGTAAGCTTGGGCTGAACGATAGAGTGCTTCTGGAAGCGCAAGGTCGATCCACGAAGGGAAAAGCCATTGATCTAGATGATATCAAGTTTCATCAGTATGTAATGAACTCTCAGATTTAATTATGATGTGCGATTGCACTTGATTTTTGAATGTATTTGCTGCAGGTGCTTCTTTAGAGTTTGATTTTGCCTTTCTGTGTACGGATATTTATCTTTATTTTTTTTGGGATTTATTTCTGAAACAAATCTATCCATGTTATCTCTCTAATATCTACTTCTGATTAGGTGTGTGCGTTTGGCGCGATTTGAAAATGATCGGACAATATCCTTCGTACCACCTGATGGATCTTTTGATCTTATGACCTATAGACTCAGCACTCAGGTTTGGTCATGGATGTTGAACCTGCAGTTTTTTATTCTTCCTTTGTCAATTTTTGGATGTGAAGAGTTGAATGTGTACTCCGTTATGCAAATGTACAAAGAATGAGGTTGTAAGGTGTTAAATAAAATGTCCTTTGAACCAGCTACGTGATCTGAAAAATCAAGCACATCATCCACATTTTTAAGCCCTCACCTGCCTACCATTCTCCAAAAGCTATTTGTTTTTCTAAAACTTAGTTTCAACCACACATTCTCTTAACAAAATATTTTGCACGTAAATTTCACACTTTTCTCTACTTTTTAACCACACATTATCCGAAAAATCATTATTCCAAAACTCATTTTCTCCAAAAATAATAATAATAATAATAATAATAATAAATAAATAAATAAATAAATAAATAAATAAAACTCTTTTTAATGGGTATCAAACAAGGGCTAAAATCACGAAGTGTGATGTTTGAAAATCTGCATCTTCGTATTATTAGATATATTTTAGAAATTGGATAAAGAAATTGGGATTGGGGGAGTAATTTTTTAGTTCTTTCTCAATTGCGCTCTATGCAAAATATGTCGTAGTCTTGCTCAAGAGTAGTCTATTTTTTATTTTTATTTTTTTTTCAGGTAAAGCCTCTGATATGGGTTGAAGCTCAGGTTGAAAGACATTCTAGGAGCCGGATAGAATTTATGGTAAAAGCCAGGAGCCAGTTCAAGGAGCGCAGGTACGTCTATGAAGTGAAAATTTTGGTGCAGTTTCATCTCTATTAGATGTTTCATCCGAATCTTTATTTTCTGTGTTGCTGGTTATCATGTTTTTAATCTTTACACAAAATTGAAATTTCAGTACTGCAACTAATGTCGAAATTGAGTTGCCCGTGCCATCGGATGCTACCAATCCTAATATTCGGACATCAATGGGGTCTGCTTCTTATGCACCTGAAAATGACGCATTAATTTGGAAAATAAAATCTTTTCCGGGTGGTAAGGTAAGAGTTGGGTTCAACTCCCTGCTTTACTGTGAATTATTGTTATTTTCTACTAATATTCATTGCTGTTGAACTATACTCAGATGGAGACGCTTATTCTTTGACACACATACATAATACATGAATGAGATAATTTTTGCTTATTTTGAAGGAATATATGTTGAGAGCAGAGTTTAGGCTCCCCAGCATAGTATCTGAGGAACCCGCTCCAGAGAGAAAAGCTCCTATACGCGTGAAGTTTGAGATACCATATTTTACAGTTTCAGGAATACAGGTGAGCTGTAAAAACAGTAGTTTGATTTGTCAAAATGTTGTAACATTACTATTATTCAGACAATAAAAAGAAAAGGGAAAAAAAATTGGTATCAACACTTTTCTTATGAACATGCCCGGTAAATAGTCTCTGTCGAAATCTCAAAATTCTAAGCATATCATTTAAAGGGCTGAAAACCTTGAAAAGCTGTTTCTGAAGATTATTGAGCCTCTGACCGTGCTTCTGCAGTGGCACCATTACAGAAAACTACTTTTTCGAAGCCCATGAGATCTGGCAATATCGTGAAAAAATATTAAATTCATTTTAGTAGTCTGACAGCATAAACTTTGTTTCTGATTAGTATGATTGGATCATTTTCATCGTAATTCTTGAGAATTTGTTTTCTTTAGGTTCGTTACCTGAAGATAATCGAAAAAAGTGGCTATCAGGCTCTACCATGGGTGAGATATATTACAACCGCAGGTGAATACGAGCTGAGGCTTATATAAAGTGCGCATGCTTTTTTGGCTCAAATGATACAATGGAATCGAACTAGCTGAGGTGCCTTGTTGGTTACAAATTTTTGAAGGGGTCGACTGCAGAGAAAATGGTGATGTTCCGGGCAATTTTTCTCTAATTGCTGTTTCTAACCTTGAGATTTGTAACTAAACTCGTTTGCTTGTGTTTTTTCCTTTTGTAAGAAATCCACTTCAATTATTTGTTAAATGTTCTCGTACATTGCCTAGTGCAATCAAAAGCTGAATCCAAAATGATATATGTATTTTCCTCTGAAGAAATGGTATTTATAGCAAATATTTCATTGCTGGGAATTCAAGTTACAAGCTGTTCACATTTAAATTCAAATTGAGAGGCCGAAAAAGGAGCCTTAAAATAAAGTACAATAGCAGTATTGTAGCATTCACTTTCTTTGTTTTATATCATCTTCTAGTTGTAGTGTGTGATTGAAATATAAACCGACTATTGGCTCACTTGATTTGGTGATGTTGGAGTCTTTCTAAATGCATGCTTCCTACAGCGCTCGAAAATTCTGTCGTATATCATCTCCAAAATTCTTGCTCTCCCAGTTCACAATGAAAAGAATGTGATCGAATACTCTTGTAATACTTGCATCAAACCAAACATTTCTGTTAAAAATATAGAATGTTTCTAGCCAGTATCTATTTGAGATGTGAGAATATAAGTTCCACATTAGCTAGATGCGACAATGGCGAGTTTTGTTAGGGTGTTGGACTACTTCATGTTATATATGTTATCGTTTTCTAAAGAATATTATATTTGTCCAATTAAATTTAAGTACGCAGGACTCGTGTTATTGGACTTATCATTTAATGTCATCTGAACATAGTTATGATCACATTACTCATTTTGAATTCAAACCCGTCTCCAAATGTAGTGTTAGAGCAATGTGGATGCATGACATTGAATCTACCATGTGTGGAAGATCCAAGTGTGAGCTCCACTTATGCATGACCGGGAGGTTCTACGATGATGAAGTGGTGGAGTCTCCATGGTAAAGTGAGCTTTCCACAAAAAGTACCATATTCACTTTTGAGATTTACCAATTTACATTGCTTCTTAAATGAGGTAAAATTTAATGGATCGCTTGTACGATCGGGAAAAAAATATGAAAAGTATAATCAAAATCAAGTAACAACCATGAGATAGACTTCGAAAGAACCCTAAAAGATATTTAAAAAAAATAAAAATTCATTCATTTTACCATGTATGTTTGTCTTCAAGGACACTTGGAATTTCTTCCAGGCCCTCCATAATAAATGTAATTCCCCCAAACTCCATTAACTCCCCCTTGTATATCGTAGCAATTTGGACGATCAGCCAAAACTTTAAGATTTGACAGTGGGACTAAATTGTTATCCCAATCTACTATTTGTAAATTTCGAAAATATGCCGATTTTCCAAACCCTTCTCCTGCAAAATGTCCACTGCCCATTTGTGTTGATGTGTGGAAACCAGAGGGACTGCTATTGACAATTTCACCACCAAATTGGACCATAGTTGCATTATCTCTAAGCTGTGTAAATAAAAAAGATGGCCAATAGCCCACTAAAATTCCAGACCCGAATTCTAGCCACCAATTTCCATGCTTTGGATCCTGATAAATAAAAATGTATATTATTAAAGAAAATGGATGTTCATCATGCTTAAATTAAATGCCTGTTCAATAGTGATTACGAGAATTGATTTTTTGATCGTTAGAAAAAAAAAGTGGGTTTTATCTATAAATGAAGAAGTAAAAAATGAAGATTGGAATAGTAAAATTATGGTTAAAATTTTGATTTTTTGAGGTAAAAAATTGCTACCAAACGGGGCTAAATATAATTGAAATTATGACTAGTCATTATTAATGGTCCAATTATATTACAAGCAGCTAGAAAATTAGACTTACTGGTCTGTTTGACTCTCAACATTGGCTATCGATCTTGTTATATGCTTAAAAATTATAAATGAGTTAAATTTCATCGAACAGAGCCAAATAAATTGACACCACGTAAAATGTAAGGTTGAAAATGTAAATAATAAGAAGATTTGGAACAAATTACCTATTGTTCAACTAACAAGATTGTCTCCAGCTTTAAGAAATGAGTAAGTTAGTCCTCATCATTTTATTATTGTTGCACAATTAGCCTCGAATGACGAAAATTTTACATAACCCACGCAAATCATCACGAGACCCTCACATATCAAGCTTTATGGAGCTAATTTTTGTTTCTCAGCCCCCGTTTGAAAGTCATTTAAATAATATTTTTTACAAATTTATTTTCAATCACATATTTTCACAATAAAATATTTTGTATGTAAATCCAAAATTTTTTCCCTATTTTTTAGTCACACATTTTTCAAAAAATTACCATTACAAAACTCATTTTCCCAAAAAACTATTTTTAATGATTGTCAAATAGGGGCTCGATTGGATCAACATCCCTAAATTTGAAATAAAACGTATTTTTATGAGTACATCACATGACGATTCAATCAAGTTTTGGAAGGCTTTCGTCTTTAGAGATTGATTGTACAAAACGAATGTTTAAAGACTAACTTGTTGCTGGAATAATAGATTGAAAACCGATAGTGCAATTATCATGGAAGAATTTTGTTATGATGATTATGATAAAGTGCATGATGGGCCACAAATTTCTTTGCTTGAAAGAAGAGAAAAAGACTCTTGAGAAGTAGAAAAGCAGAAACAAAATAATTGAATTAATTTAATCATTTTGCCGTAACCCAACATGCTGTGGGTATAATTAAGTAGGTGGTCAAAATGCATCATGAAACTTTACCGCCTCATTTCTTATAGCTTTATCTAATTAAATAAAGAAACTTCCTAATAACTATAATGAATTAAGGTAGGTGGTCAAAATGCATCATTATTTTGAATTAAGACATAAAAGGATAGGGCTGTTCGATGGTGATTATGAGAATTAATTTTTTGACTGTTAGAGATAAAAGTGGGTCTCACATGTGAGTGAAAAAGTCAAAAATAACGGCTAAAAAAGTGAAAACAATAAAAAAATTGATTTTTTGGAGTGAAAATTTGCCACTGAACGGGGCATAGTTGCATCAAATCATACAAAGACCACAGTTGACCTTCAATTTTTTGAGTGCATAAAATATTTAGAAGGAAGATTGTAATACACCCCGACCCCAGGAAAAAAAAAAGTTTAGAAATTATGAAACAAAGAGCTAGAAAAGATAATATTACTTTTTAATGGGAAAAAAATGAATGAAGGCTAGTGATAGCTTAAAACATATAACTAAGTTGAAGTGGCTTTTAATGAAGGAAAAAAAAAGGCTTCTTAATGGTGAAAAAGATTAAAGTTTACTAGTGATATATCTCAAAAAAAAATTTGAATGTAAAAATATTAGGGTTTGGGGCTTTAACGCCCTAAAGTTTCACGAAAGACGAAGAAAATGGCAAAAAAATGGTCATTTTTCACAATAATGTGACTAATCGAATTATTTGGAAAGAACGAGTTTAGTTTCCATGTATGTTTATATATTATTCTCGATCTATTTGTTTGGAGTAAAAACATAAAAGAAAAATTAACTATGTCTACAAATTAAAATATGTTAATAATTTTGCATGTAATGAATTTACCTTCCATACTAATAAGCTAATATCAAATTGGCCACCATTATACGAGGATGTTGGAGAAATTGCTGCCCCAATAGCAATTCTGTTGTTTGTCTGAACAAAGCCTGAGCACAGCAAATTGTAACACCCTGTGGCTTGATATGCATCACTCTGCAAATTAATAAAAAATCAATTAAAATTGTAATTATTTATCATGAAGATTAATGATTATTTTGCAGGCATGGATATAGAAACGATCAAGTAGAAGAATTAATTAGTAGAAAAAACAGAAACAATTATAAAACTCACAGTCCAGTAAGTGAAGAACCTTGGAAAGTTGTCCCCATACAGCTCTGGACTAACCTGTGGAAATAATTTAACGACTTAGCACCTATGCCTACGTTACAAAATTCTTTTTCGATATTTTTGTTACTCAATATTACGCAAAATATCTTACAAGATTAAGAGGGAGCAAATTTCATTCAACGATTGAAATGTAGCAAAACAAGTTAGTTGACGGCCAATGAAATTTTTATTTTTAATTTCATCAAATACGATTTAATTTAACGTACTAAACATGCCATCAATAAATTAATAGGTTGTACTATGATTTTTCGGCATCATCAACTTATTTTCCAATGTCCTCCTATAAAATTATTTCATTATTGTAAAAATTTACTTGGCTAAATCAAGATTTATATAGAGCAAAAAAGATTAGTAACATGCCTGCCAACCAGCTTCAATGGTGTTGAGATCATCCCCAAATGAACCGGCAATTACCCACAGTTGTGATAAGCTGAATTCATACTGATTTTCTACTTGAGGTGTCCACACATTTATACTTGCTTTTGCTCCATAATATACATCTCCAGTTACATAACCTACAGCGTGCTGCAAATCAAGAATGCAGGCAAATAGTTAAAAAACCACGTGAAACAATCGCCTCGTCTAAAAGTTTAAATCGTTAACATTTTTATATTCCAAACGGCATTCGTGTGCAAGTCTGTTTAGTGTAGAGATTGGACAAGACTAGACAGTATAATGAATAAGAGTGCAATTTTAAGTACTAACCTCGTGACCAATATTGCTCGAAGTGTCCCTTCGAAATTGTCTTGGAAGTTTTCTTCCGAATCTTGATAATGAACTAGCCCTCAAAATGTCTTTTTCAGTTGTTCTTCTAATTGGAACTGTTCCTTCGGGACATGATTCACCAGACAGACTCCATAACTGAAAATTTTCTTCGAAAAATATCCCAGATCTTGATCTGTGCCCCTTTGGCCTTTCTGGTGGATCCTACAAATTCAAGATTATGTAGAAAATGCTTTCAACGACATGTTTGGTACGATTAATGGAACTGAACAGAACAATCTTGTCAAGTCCAATCCATTCGAAAATAATTTAGTTACCAGTGGTTTTTGCCCTTTTAAGTGAGGATGATCAAAAGCTGGCTGTTGATGAGATAATACACAATCTATTAGATCACCATCAGGACTCTGCATCGGAAAACAGTTGATTAGAAATATTAAACTCAGACCAGGTTTGGTCCCAAGCCAAAATCAACAAATAATTTTAACCCAATATTTCATGGGATTCATAACTTTTCAACTACATATTTCATCAATTTTTATCAAACTCCACTTAAAATTTTGATTTTAATCTACAACTACAACACATGAGCTTAATAAATGGACATAAATAGTACAAAAAAAAGGTCAAGAAAGAGTG